TGTACTAAAAAGCTGTTTTAAAAATCAATAAAAAAGTCTTCCTAAATGAAGCCTTAAGCTTGGTTTGATTTTCTTATGTTTTTTAAAACAATTTTTAAGTTAAAAATTTTTAAATTTATTCTAAAAAACTGCTTTAAGGAGCAGAAGGAAAGCCATGTCAAATGAACCTAAGTCATATACTCTAACCAACTCAAAAAAAAATAAAAAAAAAGGAAAAAATTTTCTAACAAAATTTAGTGAAAATAAATTTTTAAAAAATTTAATTTATGTTAAGATGAATATAATCAATATATCATATGAAGTATGAATTAAAATTTATATTACTCTTTAAAAATAAATTTATATCCTACCTAATTTTTTCTTTAAATAATATATTATTTAATTTTAAAATGATTTTAATTTTTAGGATGAAGAACATTTAAAAATTTTTATCTTTAAATTTAAATTTAACTTTTATGTAGAGTTTGATTTATGCGCTTTTCGGTTGGTACTTAGTATCATGATTATCCTTTTATTTGAAATTTAATTAATAAAATATTTTAATATTGTTGCACCGTTGAAAGAAAAAAAGGAAGCCACATTCCCTGCAGTTTTGTGGTGCCACGTGTAATATTATTCAATAGTTCAAGAGGGGCTAGCTTCAGCACCGCAAATTTTTATGTCCGGACCTAAATTTTTGTCCTGATTTGTACGCTTTTCATGCTTCTGATATATTTTTACAAAAAAATTAGTTAATACATAATTTTAATAACATATTAGCTGCTTTTTTATTGAGTATTTATAAAATAAAACAAAATTGTAGCAAAAGTACAACAAATATCTTACTCATTAAGTATTTATTACCATTTTGTTACTCTTTTGCTGTGTTTTTCAAATACTCAGTAAAAGGATAACAAAATGGCAGTAAAAGGCATCAAAAGGGCTGTCTTTTGCAAAAAATACATCAAAAGCACAATAAAAGCATATGAAAAGAGCACAAATCAAGAGAAATTTAAGCCCGATGACCGAACCTAATAATTTGCCCTCCAGCAGAGGCAGCTGTGGGTTTCCATTAATTTTATGATCGGCCTATCTATGGGCTTCTCTAATGTAACGATTTCAAATTTCATAAATTTTTTCAAATTTTATACAAAAATAATTTTATCTTTAGACTTTTAGGAGCTCTAAGTTCTGCTAAAAAGAAAGAATGCAATATAAAAATAATAAAGTGTAAAAAGTAAAATAACTCAAGTGTAAAAAAAAAAAAACTTTAGTGCTTTTAGATTAGTTTAAAATAAATAAAATGAAATTTTTTTGTTTAATTTGAAGCAAAGTGGATTTAATATAAAATTTAACGATAATGACGATGGTGGGCGATAGTGACTTTGGTAGTGGCTAGTGGGCGGTGGTTGGTGGTGGTGGCGGCCGGGGGTAGATGGCGATAGTTGGTGGTGGGCTATGTCTGGGTGGAAGGGGTGGCGATGGTGGCTTGAATTTGGTGGTGGCTAAGTGGTTGATTGCACTGAAAATAGTTTCCTCTTAAAATTAGCCGACTTTATTTTACTTCAAAAATTTTACGCTTTACTTTATTTTACATGTCTATTTCATTCAATCAAACATCAATATTTTAAATGCTTGTAAAGTACATCCAGGCGAATAATTTATTTTGTTTGATTTGAAGTAAAAATAATGTAGTGTAAAGTTTAAAAAGTTAACGGTGGCTGTTGACTAGCAACATTGGTGGCTCGACCTAGGAGGGTGGTTGTGGCCCCTGGAGGGTGAGGTGGCCAGTGAGGTTGGTGGCGGCCGGCGGGTGGCGGTCAAAGAGTGGCAGCGATGGCTGTTGGTGGTGGCCTGAGACTGGTGGAGGTGGCTAGCGACGGTCAAACGAGCTTGCTTACAATATAAAGCATTTTCACTCAAAATTAAACGAGTTTGTTTTATCTAAAAAATGAATTAAAATGATTTACATTATATTTATTTTGAATTCATTTTTCATCCAATCAAACATAAAAATTGTTAAAATTCATGTATTTGTAATATTTTACACCTTAAAACATCCCATCAAATAACCCCTGAATAATTATTTTACACACACTTTATTTCATATCAAACAGCCTCTCTCTCTCTCTCTCTCTCTCTCTATATATATATATATATATATATATATATAATTAATTATACGTGCGAACTCCCGTGCTGTGTGGCGCGTGCCGGACTGCCGCCGTCCGAACCCGCCTACGCGCCTGCCGTCGCTCCGCACTAGCTGCCGCGCTCCAACTGCCGAACCCGCGTGCCGCGCTCCAGCTGACAAGTCACGGAAACGGGTCGGGTCAACCCGGCAACCCGGTCGGGTCGGGTTCGGGTTGAAATGTCCGACCCATTTGCAAAAATGGGTCGGGTTCGGGTTGACCCATTTAGATCCGGGTCGGGCGACCCGAACCCGACGGGTTGGCCCAAATTGACACCCCTACTCAAAAGCTTATTCTCAAATCTCTATATATTGAAATTTAAATTTAATAACAATTAATTTCAATAATTTAGAATAATGAAATTAGCAATAAACTAATTAATAGAATTAAATTTTATGGTTAACTTATTAAATACTAATTAAAAATTAACAATTTAATAAGCATAATTATGCCTTCCAAATCACTATTTGATAACACTAAATTATTATAATTAAAATTTATGTTTCTAATTAAATCATAATTTATCTCAGCAAATTTTGTTGGGTGAGCACATGAGAATATTCTAATCCTTGTCATTTTCCATGTCACACTCAAAAATAACTTTTTATTAGTAAAAAATTCTTTAAATGGAAATTTTAAAGATTAAAAATAAATGATTGATCATCAATCATAAAAGCTATATGTCTACTCTGTTTGTCACTAATCATCACTAATTAGAATAGAGTAGAAGAGACCATCAAAGCTCTCTATGGCAAGAAGGCAACAAACTCTTATTAAAAAAATGTGACACCTTCCAACTCCTCATTGGCTATGTGAAGCTAGGCAAGTGGGCTAATCAAATAAATAAATATACATAAGAAAAAATTTCAAAATAGTCTCTAGATTATTAATATATGGCCAATTTAGTTCAAAATATTATACTATCTCAATTTGATCTCTCTACCATACAAAAATAGATCCAAAATAATTCCTTCTATTATAATTGTAATATAAAAATTATGTCTCTCCGGATTTTAAAAATTGATTTCAATTTAGACTTCGTTTGAGACAGTTTTCTTATTATTTTCTAAATAAAAAATTTTAAAACAATTTTTTTTTTTAACTATAAAATTTTCTATTAAAAATTGCTTTGGAAAGCTGTCTCAAATAAAATCTTAGGCTTCATTTGAGACAGTTTTTTAAATGTTTCTTAAAATAATTTTCTAGCAAAAAATTAAACTTCTTTAAGAAACAGTAAAAAAATCGTCTCAAATGAAATTTTGAGGGACTAAATTGGAATGAAAATATATTCTAGGTATAAAATAATTATATATGAATAATTGGGTAATTATTTTGAAATTTAACCCAATGCATATGAATTTTTTTTTCTTAGAAATTTTTTGATGTATTTTTATTGAACATTTTGTACCATATAATCAATTGTTATTTAATTACTGAAAGGTAAAATGGCCTGCTATCAATCAAGGAATACTTCCAAATAGGTTCAATAATTTTAGCAGAGCACAGCTTCCTTGCTTCTCAAGGCTTCATTTTCCAATTAGAAATCATAGTCCCAACAAAAATGAAGCAAGTAATCTGCTGTTTCCAGCCTTCAATTTTGGCCTGACTTTCCCCCAACTGTGGAGAAAAATATTAAATCCATGTTTTTTTTTTCTCAAAGATGAGAGCTATGCCCCAAATATATTAAAATTACAATAAAAATTTACTTGTAGACTGAAAAAGATAAGATGATTCAAAAATTTGTGGCATCTTAATCTAAGAGGTCATGAAAAAAAATATTGAATAGATATGACTAAAAAATTCTATTTTCATTATTATCATTTTTATTTAGCATTTGAAAGTGATTGGATGCCACAGTTAAAATAAATTTTGATAAGAGCTTAGAAGGTAAAATAAAATTTACATTTTACTATTTTTATCATCTTGCATGCTATTAACATAGTTAATGGTGTTTTGTCGGACATTAGTTGAATTTTGTCGTGATGATTTATTTGATGTCGTTTCTCAATGAGCTCGTGCTTGACTTTGTATTCTCATCACGCACCACAATATCTGCAGCCACTACTACCCCATCAACAAGAGAGATTATTGGGTGCGGACACCGAAAAGAGAGAACCGTCCGATTTTCTCTATGTTTATAGTAAAAGCATAGTCAAAAGCACAATTACTGTAACAGTTGAGTTTTGTTTGCGCTTTTACTATAAATATAGAGAAAATCGGACGGTTCTCTCTGTCCGGTGTTCTATGTATGATATCCGCACATAATAAAAAGTCCATCAACAAGCTCTCATGTAATTTCCTCAACTCATTGTTGCAATGGGTATCATGAATTTTGATGGGAGTATAAGATGGGAAGTGTGGAGGTCGAGAGAGTTTAAGAAATAGGTGAACGATAGAGTGTGACGAAGGGAGATTAATGATGTGGTGATATGATGAAGGATCATAACAAGATGTGTTTTTTTTTTTATATATATTTTAATAACTATTGCTATAACTAATACAATTGATATGTTAAATATTTAAATTTAATACCCATTGATATGTTAAATTTAAATATTTTATGTGCTATATTTTGAAAATTTCCTTCATTTAATTTCAAAAGATATTTCCAGCTCCAATCAAGCCAAACCCATCTGCCTTGACACTTTCCCCATCCTTCCTTATCAAAATACAGTAATCTCCATTTCCTGTGTCTAGATCACATCATTTTGCTTATTTCGAGAAAAAGTTGCTATGGTCCTTTTCTAGGACCTTTTGCTGTGACTTACCATAGGAAATATAACAAGCTGTCTTCTCCTTCTCACTTTTCTCCTTTTTTGGCTACATAAATCCCACCCATCCTTCAGCTTACCTTCTCACATCACTTCTTCCTCTTCTCCAAACCTCTCAACTTGTACTGCCATGGGCCTAAGTGGAACTATAGATTACTTATCTGACTTGTTTGGAAGCACCCACAAGCATAAGAAGAAGAAGCAACTTCAAACTGTGGAGCTCAAAGTGAGGATGGACTGTGAGGGTTGCGAGCTTAAAGTCAAGAAAGTTCTCTCCTCCATGAAAGGTTATAAGTTCTTCTCCCTTCTGAACTCTGTAAACCCTTCTGTATGATTAATTAATTTTTGATTTGTTGGATTTTGCAGGAGTTAAGTCTGTACACATAAACATGAAACAACAGAAGGTGACGGTGACTGGTTATGTGGAGCCAAACAAAGTATTAAAGAAGGTTCAATCCACAGGGAAGAAGGCTGAGATATGGCCTTATGTGCCTTACAACTTGGTTTCTCAACCCTACGCTGTTCAGTCTTATGATAAGAGAGCACCACCTGGATATGTGAGGAATGTAGAGAATTTTACTGTTACTACACAGGGGAGCAGACAAGAGGAGCATATCGCAAACATGTTCAGTGATGAAAATCCAAATTCCTGCTCTGTCATGTGAAGAAGAAGAAGATCTTAAAATCTCTAGTAATTAATAGTTCTGAGGAGTTTGTTTTCTTGATCTGTTTGATGTAAAGCAGTGCAGGAAATATTTTCTTCCTTCTTCCTTTCAGTTTCATGTTTTGATCTGAAGAGTTTTAGAAGGTTTTTGATCTGTTTGTGTCCTTTCTCAATTTTTATGATTGTATTTTGAGGAGGTTCTGATGTGTGATATTGGTATGAAGAGTGAAGAATTCAACTCATGTTGGGAATGAGGTGTGGGAGCAGTAATGGAATCAGAGTTTCAGTCTTTGTAAAGCAGAATTTACTGTTTCTATCATCTTGTTTGGTAATGAATCATTGATTGCACTTTGATGATTCTAAAGCTGTTTGGCATTCAAATTTAAGTAGGATTATGAAAGATTTTGCTAAAAAATCTTATCAAATAGAAAGTATTATTCTCTAAAGATTTATAATTAATAGCCTTATTTAAGTTGAAGCCTACTTATAGCTAAATAGCCTATTAGTGTAGAGAGTTGATATGATCTTTCAAATTCTAAGATTTCATTTCATTGTTTGGATTTTGAACATTTATTGCTAATGTTTTGTTTTGTTATTGAGAGCTCAAATGATGAGGGGTTGTTTGGTAGCACTCAATATTTGATTTAAGTAGGATTTCATAAATTCTCTAAATCTAGATTTTGGAAATCCTAGGAGGCCTAAATCCTGAAAATTTATTGCTAACATTCATAATAAATTCTTTTAAATCATGTGTAACTGTTTGATTATAGAGCGGATTTAACGAGCAGACTCTTTCCTCTCACGCTCATAAAACCTTATATCTGGCAAAATAGAGGATTTCGGAAATCAGGGATTTAGCATGAAAAGGGGGAATTTTCAATCTACGTTGGCTTTCATTTGTCGTGAGATTTGGTTTTGCATTTTAGGCCAAATCTGCCTTAAATTGGGCCTAAATCCTGCTACCAAATAGCCCCTCAGAGTTGAGCCAATAAATTAATCGATGCATTTATTTTAAGCTTAAATGCTCAAGTTTTAGAGTGTAAACTCAATACTCATACATACCTTAAAATATATTTTCTAAGTTGAGAGGTTAGATTAATTAGCTCATAATAATAAGATGAGGGCCTTTTAATATCATTAGACTGGCATGAACCAAGAGCAAATTCAAGCACATCAATGCATCATGATTTTGAGTGATTTTTTTTTTTTAATTTTAACCATGACGCAAAGGATCAAGATTTATGAAAGTCAAAGTTTTCATTATCTATTTTATTACCTATGTAGCGAATATTAAATAGGGTAAAAAATGGGTTCGATATATGCTATAAAATGTTGATTCATTAGGGAATTTGAGCATATTAGAACCTAACTTGAAAGGAGAGAAAATGGGTAAAGAATTTTGTTCAAAAATGACCCTACTTGACTTGAGGATGATTAAAAAATCACAATCATTGTAGCATCTTTCTAACTTTCTCATTTCATAACTCTCTCCTTATTAAAATAAAATTTAATTTTACTTCTCTTATGGTTTGTTCATGTCTTTAAATTTATTATTGTTTTCTTGATGAGGTCTAAGATATTTTGGGATTATAAACTACAAGATGGTACATATTTTAACATAATAAAAATTATTTCAAGAAAAAAAAAAAACTTATGCCTATGTATCAAAACTAACAACTAAAAATTTCCTATCATTATCATCCAGAATGGGATGAAGAACAATACCCTTATGTGATTTATTGCACATGAGATGCAATATTTAATGTCAGATGAGTGTATAATGAGTGTGTTGATTTCTATTTTTAAAAATGAATGTGATGCACAAGAGTGTGCAAATTATAGAGGAATTTATATAATGTGCCATATTTTAAATTTTTGGGAGCGAGTAATTGTGCATAGGTTACGACATGATACTAATGTTTCTCAAGATCAATTTGGACTCATGTCAGATAGGTCTATTATGGAAGCTATTCATTTATTGAGAGATTTGATGGAGAAGTATATGGAGAATAAGGAGGATCCATATATGATATTTATTAATTAAGAGAAAAGTTTTGATAAAGTTCCAAGAGAAATGCTATTGAGAGTTTTAGAAAAGAAAGAGGTAAATAATGCTTGCATGCAAGTCATTAAGTATATGTATGCAGGAGCTATTACTTGTGTTCAAACACAAAGAGGTTGAATAAAGTATTTTCCTATTTTAGTTTCATTACATCACGGTTCAGTTTTAAGCCCATACCTTTTCTGCTTTAGTCATGGATGTTCTTCCTAATCATTTGAAGAAGGATGCATCCTCGTTTATTATTTTTGCTTATAATATTCTTCTTGTTAATAAGACGAGAGGGAGTTGAAGGTAAACTTGAATTATGGATGTCAACTTTAGAGCCAAAAGATTTTCGTTTGAGTAGATCTAAAATTGAATTCAAGGAGGGTAGTTTTATTAATAATAGATCTAATATAGAGTTTGTGACTTTGGGTGATCAAGTTATTAAATAAGAGTACATGTTTTAGATATGTAGGATTTATTTTCTAGAGTGATAATAACATAGAAGATGATATTATTGGTAGAGTTCAAGTTGGACGATTGAAGTGGAGGAATGCATCGGTCTTATTGTGTGATAGAAAAGTACAACTCAAACTTAAAAGAAAATTATATATAATGGTGGCGAGACCTGCAATGCTTTATGGCGCAGAATGTTGGCCTTTAAAAGAGAAGCATATAATTAAGTTAGGTGTTACATAGATGAGGATGCTTAGGTGGATGAGTGGCTTTACTCTTAGGGATAGAATATGAAATGAGCATATATATGAAACTGCTAGATTAGCTCCATTGGTAGATAAGATTATAGAGAGTCACCTTAGATTTTTTGGTCACATAAATTGTAGGCCTTCTGATGACTCGATTAGGAGAGTGAATGTATTAGATTTGGCCTATGTTAAGAGTGATAGAAATAGACCTAAAAAGACTTGGTTGAAAAATATTAAAAATGACCTTTTTGTAATAGATTTAAATTAAAAGTTGCCTCTTAACATGACATAATAGAGAAAAATAATTCATCTAGCAAACCCCATGTAAATGATTGATGTTGTTATTGTTATTATTGTTGAGATACAATATTCAACGATCGTAGAGTTTAAATAAATAAGTTGTCATGACCCTAATATTGATCTAGTACATAATCATTTGAAATATAAAATAAATAACCCAATGAAGGGGTTTAATTCCTAAAAAAACATTTATGATATTAAGTTATTGGATAAGATCATATATCAATATGAAGTATAACCATCTAAATAGAGTTTCCCATTTGAGAAGAAAAATAGAGGAAATTAGTATCTTCCTTCCCCCCAAAGAGTATTATGTGGAATTGAATGAATGATATTTTGATACCTTAATCAAACATATGCTTGACATATATGTCACATCACACCCAAAATTAGTGTCTAACCAAACACTTTCAATTTGTGGCAATTAAGCTAAGTCATCTTTGAGATTCATATTGACCATCATCCTCTTAAGATGACGGAGGCTAAAAATCTTAAGATTAATACTCTATATATATATATATATATATATCAATGGCTCTGAGATTAGTATTGATGATGATCATAGGTTGGTTGGTATGATTTGGGATTTCGATGTGTGTTAAACTTTTATCTTGGATGAGCAAAATTCTAAATCGACGGGCTCAAATTAAGAATCCAAATTTTTTAATTTGCAAATTAAGAATCCATTTTTTTTAATTTGCTATTCATGCTTGAATTTAACGAGGCTAAATTTGAGAAGAAATGATAGTTGATGTTATGAGCTCTCTTATGGGATGTGAGGAAGATGGTTGGGCTCGTGCGTTAGGGTCATTGGTGCGGATTCATGAGTATGAAGGTCATGCTACTGGCACGACTACACATCACAAGATTGCCAAATATTTCAAGAATAAAGCATGGGTGTAATTATATTAGGAATTCGCTCGATTCAGCCAAATTTAAAATTCATAGAAAATGATGTTGGCATTGTCTGAATCTTTTTTTTTTTAATACTTCAAACTAAGTTTAGATTCACATATTTCTTTTACTTTACACCTATTATAAAAATCAAATAACCTCTGCTAAATTTTTGTGCAAAATAATTTCGGGTTATCTCGCGCTTTGAGCTAACAAACGAGCAGGCCGGAGGACTATACTCTTAATTCTTTTTCGACGAGAGCACCCCAAAGCCCATGGGCTCCGTATCCTTTCAGAAGCCCAACGATTGCATAAACGGCTCATGATTGCTGAGTTAATGCCGATTTTTAGGGCACTATGATTAGTTGGCTAAGAAAATAGTTATTCCGGCATATTGTGTTCTGACATTTTTTTCTACCGTGAAGGTCATTAAGAATATATCATTATGATGGTCCAGCAGAACACATTGTTTCTCGAGGTTTCAATGTCATCGAGAGGTGAGGTATTTACTCGTTAATTATTCTGTGTGGATACCGAACGTTGTTCGGAGACTAATCAGAATAATATGTTAGGTCATCTCTATGCCTGGTAGTGCTCGGTGCCGCTGACGTGGCGTGTTCTAGTTGGTCTCCGGACAACATTCTACGTTCGATTTACGCACATAATAATTTATCAGTATTGCTCAAGTTGTGGTTTTATGTAGGATTAAGAATGTGCTCTTATAGGTAAGGGTGTCAAGATAATATATTATAATTATGCATAAAATTTTTATTATGTAAAAAAATTACTATTAAATAAAGTCATCTATTTATTTTGAGAAATGACGTCATATCATAAAATATCATGTAGAAGGTAATCACTTCTCAATTATTTTATTAACTAAATAATCAAAATATCTTTATTTCACAGAATTTCTTACTTTCAATTAAGAATTATTATAATTAATTTAATTAATGCAATTAGTTTTTTTAAATAAATAACTAATTAGTTAAATAATTATTAATATAATTACCAATCAAATACTTATTAAAATAATATCTAAATAAGTAATTAAATAATTAGTAACTAAATTATTTGATAAGCAAGCTATTTTCAAATTATACTGTTTACAATTATGACTGATTAACAATAATTAAAATTCGAATTATTAAGTATTTAGTTTTTAAAACATAAATTTAATTTAAAAGACAAATTAAATATAAAATTTTAATGAGTTAATCGCCCTAAAATCCTAAGTATTCTTGAAAATTGAGATATAATTTTTGCTTTTTAATTTTTTGAGTTAAAAGAAGTTTGAAATTTCTACTTTGAAATTATGCATATTATTATTATTTTTTCATTATACATGTTTTTGATTACTTATACG